TTAATTTTTTTAGGTGATTCAAGATTGTTAGAATAGGCAGGAAATAGGTTATTTCTCTTCCCCAGGTCAGTTAGACTCAGACAAAACTTTAGCAGTTTAGGTTCTTGTTAAATTTTCTTATGAAAATTTATTAAGAACAAAATACTACTCTGATATATTTCTTTGTGATGCTTTTTTCCTTCTGCTGGAAGCACAAGACAGTTTTTCTCTTGCAGTTACTGTCAGAACCTGGACATAAACTCAGAAGCATGGGAACCTCGGTGGCTGGGTCTTTCTGGGGTTTTTTGCTCTGATTTGTCCATACTTAGCCTTCAGCTGTTCCTCAATTACTGTTGGAATTTTCCTACCTCTGTGTCTTCCGCATGGATGTTTCTATTATAGATGGTTACAGTCTTCTCTACCTGTCTGGCTGTCTCTCTAATTTAGAGGCACCATTTTGGCCTGTGACCTTACTTTTCTTAATGGATCTAAAATGAATTCTTCATTTTCAAGTTGTTCAGGTTTCTCCTTGTTGTAAGGACAGTTTGGATACTTTCAAGCTCCTCATCCAGGAAACAGAAACCACATATTTATGTAATTTGATATGCAACTTTTAAAAATTAGGTTTATGAATTTATAATATTAAGTTTAAAAATACAATTTTATGAATAGTATATCAATTTTTAGAAAGTTAGAAAACATCAGAATGTACTATGATTTTAGCTAGTTGGTGAAGATTTGAGATCTTCTCTATATATGCTTTTCTATGATGAATTTCTTTCTATAATCAGAAAAAATGTATAGCATTAAAAAAAGATAATCACCATCAAAGATGAAATCTAAGGGTGTGTGTGTGTGTGTGTGTGTGTGTGTGTGTGTGTGTTGTGTATGAAAGCAGAGAAAGGGAGACAAACCTAGAGTTTAGCAATGATAGGCTTGAATTTAGAAGTGACAGTGGAGATGGGAAGAAGAGTCTAGATTCTGTGAGATTTAACAGAATTTACTTAGCTTGGTGAGCCCTGCTGTTAAGAGGTTTGATAGGTGGTAGTGCTGCTCAGAGAGATAAAAAACTAAGAAACAGCTATGGGATAGAGGTGACTGTTTCGTTAATGATGCCGTGAGAAGGGATAGTGGGCACTTCCATGCTTACATCTGGAACCCAGGAATAGGTCTGTCTGTCTGTCTATGAGGATTTAGGGGTCAGCGCACACCTTTGAGCCCTGAACTTGAAAGAAATAATGCCTTGTACTGTACTGTACTCAGAGCCTTTGCACTGAGCTACATCCCCAGCGTTACATTCTTTTTATTTAGGGTCTCGTTAAGTTTCTAAATTGCCCAGGGCGGGCCAGATTTGTGATTCTACTGTGTTAGCCTCCCAAAGTGCTGGGATTACAAACTGGGATTACCGTGCCTGGCACCAGATCCTTTTTAAGCTAAAAGGTGATTGTATTTCTCTTAATGCATGTAATGGAAACTAATTTTAAAAGTCTTCTAATTTAATTTCCTGTTGAAGATTCATTGAATATATGAAATAGTATAGGGACACTTTTTTGTTGTTTTCTTTGGGATTATGGGGGGAGAAGTTGTTGTAAACTGTCAAGTTTTGTACAGAAGTTGACATAAGGATCACTGTCCCCCCAACCCCTGATTTGGACAGTGCACAATCTGTTTAGACATTTGATTTGAACACCATAATTTGTATGTTTGAGTATATCTGGCTTTTCTTCTGAGAAGTTGAGTATTTTGATTTGGAATATTTTAGAGGAAAGTTAGATTGACTATATATGCTAAAGTCAATATAATAAATGTATCAATATTGACAAATACATATCTAAAGAGATTTTAAAGTGTTGATTCTATTTACATTTATCTCACCAATCTCTTCTATCCAACCATCTAAGTTGTTTTTTTTTTTTTTTTTAGCTGAAATGTTTTCTGATTGAGTCTTTGTGGTTGAGAGAACTCTGTATGACATGTCTACTTCAGCATTTAATTGCTCCATGAATTCCAGAGTTAGCAGTATTCCATTTTGGTCTGCTGATGTAGCAAAGATCTTTTTAGCATGGTCTGAGAAATGCTGTGCAATTTGAAGGACCAGTATCATGATTTTCAAAACTTTTGAATTGTTTGACTTCCAGACTGACTTTTGAAATGATAAAAAGTCAATCTGGAAGGAAAAATTAGAATGAAAATTGTCAAGAAATGGTGTTCTCTGGAAGGTATTATATAAGGCAGTGGTGGTGAACTGTGGCACACATGCCAGAGTGGACTGTTTATATCATTGAAAGCTTTAAAAGATTTATCATCATTGATTTCATTGGGTGACAGGTTGGATTAAGAAACTTGTACTGTGTCCTCAAATCCACATCATCTCATCGATAATTTTATTTCTTGAGTTAGTAGAGAAAATGGATGTTTACGTAAATGATTGTTAGTACTTTACTCTGTGAAACCATTAATGTAATCATGAAACGGAAGATGAGATCTGATAATTGAGATTTTCAGTGCCAGCATTGTCCAAGTCACATATTCTTAAAATAGTTTCAGAATTTTAGTTTTCTGTCGCTCACTTTCTTGGTGCCCTGATTCAGTAGTACTTAGAACAAAATTTGAATTCTAATAGAGAAATGAACAGGGTCAACCGTGAGACTAGGAGACCTCAGGACAGTGGGTGACACAAGTAGTGATTTATCATTACTATGGCATAGTATCTACAGAGACAACAGCAGAACCAGATATGGTCAATAATCACAGATCCATGGCTAGAGAATTCCAGTCAGACAGTCCCACTAAGCTTTAAGAATCATTAATCGAGGAATTTAGGTCAGTATGAGACAGGTAAAGTTTGCTGTGATTGCTGTCTATCAAAATATTCAGTTTTGTTCTTAGGAAATTCAAATGAAGAATTTTCTCTTTCTGTTCCTGGCTTTGAAAGCCTGGATATGAGTATTAAAAAGTAGCTTAAAAATATAGGTAAAATATTTTTAAAATCTTTTAAAATATATACCTGAAATGATACTGATAGATCTAAAATGTTTTTATAAAGCCATAATAGTAGTAATTGGAAGCAGGTAATCTGAAAGGTATGTGTTTATTACAGTTTCCTCATTGGGAGTTTCTACTGAATCCACAATTTACTGCTTTTACCTTTACACAGAAGTGCAGAAGTTTCTAGCCCTTCTCAGTCCTTTAAGGAGGTTTAATAAGATCCCCTTATTGTTGCATACAGCGGAGACACAAGAGTTGTATAACCAGTATAAAGATTAAATTTCAGCGTTGAGTGCTAGTTTTTTTTCTCTGTGACTACATGAGAAGTGTTCATAAAGCACTAATGCTTTATTACAAAAGAGAAAGTTATTTAAGAGAAAGGACTTGTGCTGTTATTTGAATTGTAAACTAAAGTAAAGTCTTTTTTCTGGAATATTATTTTTACTTGGAAGAATGGCTAGCAAAAAAACTGATTATTGAGCTTTCTGTATATGGCAATTTTTTTTTAATTTAACAAAGTAAATTTATCACTTAATAGTAAACAACTAAAGCTGGGCATGGTGGCACACACCTGTAATCCCAGCACTTGGGAGGCTGAGGCAGGAGGATCATTGCAAATTTGAAACCAGCCTGAGCTACTAAGTGAGCTCAAGGCCGTGTAAACTGCATAGTGAAACCTTGTCTAAAAAATCAAAAGCAAAAGCAAAACTAGTATGTGTTGCCTTATAATATTCAGGCTTTTGGTGGAAAAATGAAATCATGAAAATCTTGTACTCACTACTTTTGTTTTAATGGTTTCCCACTGCTTAAAGATTTTTCTGATGGAAGAGTTGGTAGTATAAAAAATGTGACTTTTTTAGAGGGAAGAAGATGGCGGATTGCTGGGTAGCTGGGTACCTATTTGAATGAGTAGTTTCTTTCCAGGTTCTTCAGTCTTGGTATCCAGAAAGTCACAATTTTCGCCACCTAGATACATAGACTGTGCGTTTGTGAGATCTCTCCCCCTGCACCCCCACCACCCCTGCCCCAGAAGCCCCTCCCTGCACATGCCCCATACTGTGATAACTGCTCAAGCCAAGGTGTCCTTGGTCATGATGGCAGATACGGAGAGCAGTTAGCCTTCTGGTCTGTGCTAGATGCAGGCAGTGGGATGGGAGTTCAAGCAGACATCCAGACTTAATACTTATACTTTGGAATCTAGCTCCCTTTGAAAGCCACGTTGGCCAGGCCTGGTTTCTCACCATAGAGACCAGAACTATATCCTCCTCAGCCCAAGCTTAAACTTCTCAGGATTCAGTGTCTATCCTGCAGCCTCTCTGCAGCTGTCTCTCACTCAGTCACTTTGGGAGAGTTACACGGAAACCCTTAAGTGAAATTGTTGTGTAGTAGTTCTGTGACTTAGTCTTAATCAATTCCTTCCTGAAATGATGCCTGATTAAATTTTCTGGTCATATAGTGGGCACTGCATTGGAGTTCTTTTTCAACTCTTTCCTGAAAGGGAAGGATTCACTTTCAGAGTCCTGCTGTTTTGTAGTTCACAGTAGCTGCGGGCTTTAGTTGAGTCTGCCACAGTAGGCCTTGTCTGTTACTTCTCCCTGGAGCTGCGGACTCTTTGGCCTACGTTTTACCTGGCAATATTGACCTTGTCCCCAGTCAGGGCGGTCACTTGGTCTGTGCTTCTGTTGCTCTGTGCCAAGGGAAACAAAACAAAGAGCGGCCTCTCAGTTGTCAGGTGGCTGAAGACAAGGAATGGAAATGGAGTTGGCTTGGGACAGGTTCTGTCAGTACGGCATTTGCCCATAAACGAGTCTAAAAGATGTGATGGAGCAGATATTGGATAATGAAATGTGTTAACATCTGCCTAATTTGGAGAACCAATATGCAAATAGACTGAAGTATAACATTACAAAATCATGTTTGGGTAAAAGATTCATTAATTGTACATAATAGAGCAATGGATGTTAATGACCAAATAGAAATTATTTTTTCTTAATCACCAATATTTAACTTACTGGTTAACTTCTTTTTAAAATTAAAATACGGAATGCTCCATGAATTTGTATTTTGTCCTTGCTCAGGTACCATGTTAATCTGTGTATCGTTCCAGTTTTAGTATATGTGCTGTGAAGGTAGCATACAAGCATTCTCTTTTAAGGTAAAGAGTAATACACGAATTGGCCCCTTTATTCTATTTAGTGAGTATCAGTATTCAAAGTGCTAACATACCACTAATAAAAAACAAAGAAAAAATGATTGGAAAATTGAGATGAATATCTATTTATAAATGCAATTAACTTTCTATAAAACACTTTTTTTTAGACAGGGTTTTGCTATGCAGTTCAGGCTGGCCTCAAACTCATGGCAATTCTCCTGCCCCAACCTCCCGAGTGCTGGCATTATAGATGTGGGCCACCATGTCCAGCCTATAAAATACATTTAAAAAGGCAATATGACTTCTGCAAATTGCAAAAGTAAAATGCAAAGGAATAAATCTAAGAAAATGTGAACATGATGTATATGGAGAAAATGATAAGACTTTGAAATGTATTGAAGGCCTAAATAGGTATACAGAGGAAACTGTTCAGTTTAGAAGTACTCAGTATTGTGAAGATGTATGTACACATTAATCTGTAGATTGATATAATTCTAATCGTAATCCTAACTGGATTTTTCAAGGAACCTGAATGTTAGAACAAATGTTGGTTCCATTTGTATGAGAAACATGTAAATTTATAAAGACCAAAAGGATAAATGTTACCAAATGCTAGAGGAGGGGAGAATTCCGAGTTTTTGTTTAATGAGTACAGAGCATTTTTGCTTGGGATGATGATAAACTCTGGAAACAACATTGCAAATGTGTTCAGAATTTGTCACAATTTTACTCCCTTTTAATAGTGAACAATATTCTATTATATTTGTATGCCACATGAAGCAGTGTTTTCTTTAGGGATGCAGACATAGATTTTGAAAAAGCACAGGGAGGACTAACCCCAAATTCTGGAGGAAGGAATGGGAGAGGTACAATTTGGAAAGGGATATATGCTGCATTTAAGGTAAAGGTAATGCTCTAGTTCTTATGCTGGGTATTAAATACAGGATGTTCATTTTATTAATAAAGTAGTATTTACATTCCATACTTTAATATGCATGATGTACTTCATAATTTTTAAAAGTTCAAATGAGAGTACCATGACTTGAATTTTCAATGTCTTGTGAGAAATCTGGTTGGTGAAGAATTAGTACATAACAATCTTTCAGAACATTCTATGTATTAAAGCTCTGAACATTCTATGTATTAAAGCTCTAAGTAAGCTTTTGCTCTTCCTCTTTCCCTAGTTCCATTATATGGGAGAAAGTATTAAATTTCTAGTGTGTGGTTTGTGTTTTGTAATATTTTAATGGAGAAAGTCAAATGTTTGATAGAAGAAACATTATATATTTACTTATCTTGGTGTCCATAATATATAAAACAGCATATGGTGATCTATTTTGTAAGAAAACACTAGTTTAAATAACTTGAGCAAGAAATAGCCTCCTTATCGTCCTAGTAAACTAAAGAGTGTTTCATTTAGCTGCATTGCTTGATTCCATTATGTTATATATCATCTTACTAGCCTTATGTAGAAAAAAGCAACAAGATTAACTACATGAATGTTTGGTAAAATCCAAAAGTATTTATAAAAAAAGTCCTGAATCTCATTAGAATGCATTTATTCATTTTATCTATACTATAAGGTCTTTTTTGTTTTTCAATTATTTTCGTTACTACCTGAATCACAAAGAGAATACATTGAGCTGGAGTTCATTTTAGGTACATGGCAGGAAAGTAGAGAGCCATGCATGAATTTTAATAGTATAACTATATCATTTTGAAGTAAACACTTTATATTGATTTGTCATTTTTACCATTTCAACACAGGTGATCCTGGTTGGATTAGTGTAATTGGTGTAATAATCCAGGTTCAGTGGGCTATAAAAATTAATAGCAAACCACTTTATGGTGATTGATAGGTATTTTCATTTATTATTGCAAGACTTTCTTTAGAATATATTTCTAAGATGGGAATTGGTTAATTATAAGATGTGTTATTCGAGTATACAGTGTGATATCAAGTTGTTTTCCAAAGTTCTGTATTAACTGAAACTTCCAGAAATATGAAAAAGTTCGTATTATTGTGTATTTTTACCCGTACTAACTAGTGTTCAAATTTTAAAAATATATGCCTACTTAAGAATGTGAAACTGAGGTTTAAATACACAAAGACCTGTCAAAATAAGTGCTGGTGTAGCTGGGAGTGGTGGCACATGCCTGTAATCCCTGCGCTTGGGAGGCTGAGGTAAGAGGATTGTGAGTTCAAGGTCAGTTTGGGCTGCAAAACGAAGGTCAAGGCCAGCCTGCACTACATAGCAAGACTCTTGTTTAAAAAGAAAAACAAAACAAAACAAAACAACCCAGAAATAGCTAGCACAACATTCTAATCCAGGTTTGCTGATTCTAATAATATTAATCAGAGTAATAATCATGAAAAAGTAGAGTGATATTTTTATGTTACAATAATTTCACTTAACTGCTTCCTACAATTAGTAGTGATAAAAGTGTTTGGGTGTTGGAGAGGATTTGTAGAGACAGTGGTAGATGGTAGTATTAGGAATCACTAGATTCCTGGGTCCATCTCTAGGTTTCCTAATTTAGGATATATAGGAATGGGATCAAGATATATCTGTATTTGCACAAGGTATCCTAATTCTGTGTATTTTTAATTTTTAAATCAAAACTAAAGCTTAGGAATCTCTGGTTAACTGACATAGCTAATTGTACTTAGAATTTAGTAGATTTTATCATTTACTGTTTCTGTAAGTAACTTACCAAATACTTAAAACCTTCTGTGTATCATAAATGTGAGTTAAAAAGTTATATTTTTATTCTAAAAAATGAGGTTGACAGAATGTTGATTATAAAAATTAGATTTTACAGGAACCATCTTTCAACTGAACTTTCAAACTTCTGCTTGCACATTTCTAAGTTATCTTAATTTTTATAGTTTGATTATTTTGCTATAAAATTAAATAATTATATTAAGGGATCAGTGTCATACCTTATGAAATAGATTTAACCAAAACTGAAAATACTATGTGGCAGTTTCTGTGTCATGGTTTTGAACAGGCTTTAAATCCTATATTATGTGTAAAAGTTGTTAGCTATTCTAAAGGTACAATAAGAGATTATTGTTCATATCAGTATAATAAATTGATACTCTCTGATCGTACTTTTTTCATTTTGTACATTGTCAGAACCTTGGACCTTAATCTTATTCTTTGATTGACAGTAGCAACCAGGGAAAGAACACTTGTATTGTTTGGGATAGTCACATCTATTCAGCTTGATTCAGTTGAGGGTATTTGCATATTCTTAAGTATTTCTTTCAAGAGCGCTTAAATCCTTCTCAAGTGCTTGATACATTTCTGAAATTTATTCATAAGGTATCTACATGCACTAATAGTTCCGTATAATGTTGCTATACATAATCTGACAGATAAGACCACATTTTGAAACCAGGTGTTCTTTAGGGATGTTACATTACATTTATACTTAATTCTGCTTGGCAGAAATGTCAAGTTTTTAAAGACATCTTTTAATGTTTTGATCAAATTAGTACATCTTTATTTTAGACAAGTTAATCAAAGGACAAATAGAGATTTATTAAACAGTAATTCAAATATATTAATGACAGCTTGTCCTGCCTTTGTGGGGAAATTGAGTAATTTTATAGAAAATAATAGCAGAACTCAAGTGCATTTTTAGAGGTCCTCCTTATTTTATAGGAAAGGTTGCTGAGGATCAGGTGTCCTGATTTGTTCAAGGTCATACATTAGAAATTAATCCTTAAATGTTGTTTTTAATTCTCAGATCAGTCAGTCTTAAGAAATAATGGCATCTAACCTCTAATTTACAGTATTATAAATTATCCTATATCTAAAAATTTCCCCTTGGCATTAGAACACAGTCAGGGATTATATCATCTCTGAACACAGAAATTTTTATTGTCTCTCTTCAGTGTCTTACATACAGCTAAGGGCCGTCATTATTTTGCTATTCTCTTATTTGTTTCTTAGGCTATTATTCTGTAAAGTAAAATTATGAAAATGAAATGTTAAGTACTTTGATAGCAAACAAGTTTCATTTTGTGTTGTATGCGATCTTCCTGCCTCAGCCTCTCAAGTGCTGGGATTGCAGGTGTGTACCATCATGCCTGACTCTTCTATTTCTGATGACTTGGATGTTCTGAGAAGAATTTTGAGATTGTGCTGTCAACAGTATTTCCATGGACATAGATCAGAGAATCTGCTTCTTTCTTTGTATGTGTGATGACCGGGAAAGGAAATTATGGACTGGCATGATGAGAAAAGATCATGAGAAGAAATGAAGCTCAAACCACAGGATACGTACAGTTTAGGTTCTGTAAACCAGGCATGAGGGAGCATGTCTGTAATTACAGAAGTTTGGGAAACTGAGGCAGAAGGATTGCTGGTTCAGGTCCCACTTGGACTACTTAGTGATACTGTGTGTCAAGATAAAAAATACAAGCTATAGTTCAGTGGCAGAGGACCCCTACCACTGAACTATATGGGGACTGAACTATATGGACACACACACACACACACACACACAAATTTAGGAAGAAATACTAGGCTGAGAGTTCCATAAAAAGATTACAGGTTTTTATCAAAGAGACATACCATTAGATTACATTAAATCTAATCAAAGGAAAGAAAACACTTCTTGAGTGTTATTGCTTGGCCCTGTGCTAGATCCTTTTTTCATAACAATCCTAAGAGCTTCAGTCTTAGGTTTTAATTTCATCCTCTTCCTTTCCTAATGTATTTAAGGTTGCTTTAATTTTAACTTGTTTCTGCCTGTGCAGTCCAGTTTTGATTTTCAGCTTCTTTGCTGAAAGTTACAGAAAGTATGATATACCCTCATCACATTTTTATTTATTACTGTGTTATAAAAACTCACTGCAGTAGGGCACGGTAGCACACACTTGTAATCCCCGCACTTGGGAAGCTGAGGCAGGAGAATCACTGTGAGTTTGAATCCAGGCTATACTATATAGCAAGACCCTGTCACAGAAAAG